ATACACACACACTTTTTTTTTCTCCCTCACCTTCCATCAGCCCCTCCCCAATTCTCTCACCTTCGACCAGGGCTGAGCTCCCCCTCCGCAACGGACCCCTTCAGCCCCGGTTTTCCTGGACATCCGGATGTTCCCATCAGCCCTGCGGAAAACACGGAAGAGAAAGAACCGCTCTACCCCTAAATGCACCCCAACTCTGTCCCTGCCGCTCGGCCTCCTCCCGCGCCTCCACTCGCTCTCCCCTTGCCGGCAGCGTGAAGGCGGCCCTTTCGAGAAGCAACCAATAGAAAGCCGGCGAGGGCGGGAAGTGGGCAGAGATTGGCTCTCGAGGCAGGCCTCCCTTCAACGCAACGAAAGCACTGGCCTCTTCCGTGCTTCCTTAAAGGTTGTCGGTAGCATAGACTTCACTTAGACTGACGCAAGAGGAAATAACTTTCGAGTCTCCTGAAAAACTTAATCGGGGCGGGGGGGAAGCGGTGTTCGACAGCAGCGGCAAAGCAACAGTCTCGCGAGTTTTCAGGCGCCGGGATTCTGAGCCATGGGACTTCCGGTCAAGATGGTTCCCTGAACGGTGGCGGGCTCAGGTGCTCCGTAACCCAGCATCGGTTCTGCTGCTTAAATCCAGCGTTGGAGGCCCCGGAAGGTACTTACTCGCCGAGGGAAGCCGCTGTTGCTACTCCGGTGCTGTGGGAAGGTGTTTTCGCCTGCTGCTCGGGCTCAGTTTTGGCAGCGCTTCCGCGGCCTAATCTCGGCAAAAGCCGGGAGGGAAATGGCGGCGGGAAAACCGTCGGAACGGAGCAGAGGCCCTCGCGCTGCCTGCAAAATGGCTACCCCGCCTCCGCCACCCCCTGGAAAACTCACTGCCGAGCATCTTACCCCTGTTGCAGTCCCTCCCCGCTTCCTTGAAATCAACCACGGTTTCACTGCAAAATGCCTCAAAGGGCGTAGAACAAAGGAGGGATGACTTCAGCAAGAACCTCCTCTTTTGAACGGAAAAACTCTGATTTGCAAGATATGTGAAGTGCGCGAAAGGCCCTACCGGCCCAAAATAGCCTGAAAACAAGAGAGGTTTCCGGCAAAAATAGCATAAAGATTGTTGGTGTGCACCACCCCAGTATAACTGGAAAAAGTTGCAGAGAGAAACTTTGAAATTGCCGGTGAAACATCCCTGCTACTTGAAAGAGCACCAGTTCCCCAGCCCTCCTGGCGACTGAAACCATCCACACATAATCAACACAGAATCAAGGAGGTTATTTAAAGCCAGCATGTAAGAAGGGAACACTCCACTAGGGGCCTCACAGCAAGAGCTGTTCTCTCGCACATATTTGACTCTACAAGGCCAGTTTCACAAAAAATGAATAAATAAATAATCACCCTTTAATGTTGGTGTGTGGGACTGCAGAAGCCTCATGAGTGCACATGATGTGGAAATGCTCAGTGGTGGTCTCCATCTGGACAGAAGTTGTTAGACTCACCAACTTCATCCTAAATATGTCATTCTTGATTAAAGATGTCAGTGTATCCCTGAATAACATTCTCACATCCAGAAAGCTATTCTCTGGCTGCCACCAATATTCTCTGGACTATGCCAGTGCTCATTGTGGCTAAGAGACTCATACTATTTATTATTTATAACGTTTTTATGCCACACCCATCGCAGAAGCCTCAGTGGAAAGACAAATCATCTCCCTCAACCACACAGTAGACTGAGGACTTTACAACATTGGCATGCTATGAGAAAATATGCCCCTGACAACTTCATCTGAACAATCATTTGACATTTAGTCAAATTTGTCTGAACTTAAGGATGTGAAATAGGAACTTGGAATGTTTAAGTGTATCCGTATAAGTATACACATATACATACATATTAGTAATACTAGTTCAGTGTATCTCTGATCATTTGTGACAATATGTTTTTGTGTTTGGTAAAAAATAAATATATTTAAAATGTTAAGCAACAGTCTCAAGTGTCATCTTAAGGACAGATAAATATATTATTAGATCCATTTTGAAAACTGCATGTCGACTTCATCAGATGTACATAGGTCTGTGAAGTAAACACAGAAATGCAGAATGTATAAACATGAATAGTGACTTTATTAACAGAATTAGCTTATTGGCAGGAGTCATTTGCAAAGCACTTGCTGGGTACTAATGCACTCATTTCTGCACTGGCGAGCAGATGAAACCTGTAGTGTGTGTGTTTTTTTCTGAAAAAGAACATGCAGCATTGTCCCAATTCAAGCAACAGGAGTAGGGTTGAGCCGCTTGCTGTACTGTAGTTCAGCCATATCTTGGAGTCAGTCTTTGGAGTTCCTGACCCAACTTGAGGTTAGTGGCAAAGCTTGGACAGTTGAAGTGTTCTCCACTGGTCTTCGAAGACTGCTATTTCTGATGTCAGGTCAGTGCCTTGTGAGCTTTTTATATTGATGCTGGCCATTCTACCAGCCCTGTTTAAAAATGTCTTCTTTTTTCTTCTTCCATTCCCATCCCCATTTCCATTTGCATTATGCCTTTTTAGATGGTAGTCCTGCAGGTAAACACTCTATTGTTTACAGAGTGCATGTGAGCAGCTTTGGAAGCCTTTTTGAATGAGGATGCAATAAAATACTTTAACCAGTGAATGAAAATATCCATGATCTACTTCCCTTCCTGGATGAAGATACTTCCCTCTCAAGTAAGTCCTTATTTACCTGACTCTTCACCTTTACCGACAACACATTAAAGGATACAAGACTCAAGCTCTGTGACAAACTCAAATGCCAACTTTGTCTTCATGGATACTCTGAGTTCACTGCAGCAGAATATATCCACAGCACCAGGAATGCATGTTAAAATGCGCCCTATGCCATCATTGGCAGTTTGACATAGTATGGTGTGGTGGTGAGAATGTTGAACTGGGGACCTGGGAGATTTGTGTTTTAGTTCCCACTCAGCTATGAAGCTGACTTTGTGCCAGTCATAGATGTAGCCTACCTCACAGGGTTGTTGTGAGGATAAAATAGAGTAGAGGACTATATAACCTGCCTTGGGTTCCTTACAAGAGGGGAAATGGTGAGGTACACAGGCAATATTTTGCCAGCAATTTTTTTATTTCTAAAATGAATGAAGTCACACTATGGCTAATAATTATACATTATAAGTATAAAATGTATGACTGATTGTGGCTTATAATTCTCAGGGTGGCATGCAATGACAAATATAAAATCCAAAATCCACTTTAAAAGAGCAAGAGTATAAGAAAACTGCACTTCTTAAGAGTTGCAGAGGCTAATGCAGATGTTGGAAGGCAGCAGAAGAAAGGATAACAAAGGCCTAAAACAATCAAAGATTATTAGAGTGCCACAAATCTCTTTTGTTGTTTTTAAAGACAAAATGAATGCTGCTTGTAACATAAAGAAGTATAGCATTTACATTAGGGTGGCCAAATACAACACAGGACGGGGGTCTTGTACCTTTTAATAGTTTTACAGAAGATGGCATTTCTGGAGGCATGTTCTTTTATGCAGCAGTTAAAAACACAGGAGTCTCATCCTTTATTGCTTCTGGGTACCTGATTTTCACTAGAGTGAGCACCAAACTCATCCAGAAACAGGAAGAATCCAACAAATTGTTCATATTCTCTCAATGTAGTTTACATGTGGGAAATATCTGCACAGTTTTTAAACACAAAAAGGCCCTACGAACACCAGTTAAAGTAGCAATATTGCCATTTCTTCCATATGTCATGTTGAAGCCGTAATGGAAAAAGAATGCCCTGTAGCACAGTCGTCGTTAAAATGAGGTAGAAGGTGGGTATTGGTCTGATTTGGACTGACTGCTCAAAATCTACTACGTTAAAATATATTTCATGCTTCCAGTGTAAGTGCTGGACATATCCCTTCACTGACCAAAGATTAGGGGTATCGTGGTATCACCAACTGTTGTTGTGAATAGGCAAGGTGTAGTCCTGTTGAGATAGGAAAAAAAGGCCTGCTACTGAATGCTGGTGGGAACATGCTGGAAATCAGGCCCTTTTCTCCCTGCGAAACATGCATAGCAGTTTAGCTGTGTGTTTCCACAGACAAAACGTTTTGCATTTGACCCAACAGTATAGAAACTTTTTGTTCCTTCCTGCAGCTGCATCTTTAAACATGCAAACTGCCCTTCCAACAGTGAGGAAAGGGCCATTTCTCTATCCCTCTGCTGTTACCTTAACAAAAGCGCTTCTCAGACAGTGCCGTTGCATTGGTAGAAAATGCCCTATTGGTGTAGAAACACATTTAATATCAATTTAGGCATGGGATGAAGTGGACTCTATGAAAAGCTTATGTCTCAAATAAATGTGTCACTCTTTAAAGTGGCACAAGGCGTTTTCCATTTTCCTGCAACAGACTAGCAGAGCTACCCAGCTCATGGTTGCATTCAAGCAATGAGCTTGATGATTCTCCTATTCCTTTAGGGAGAGGAAGAGGGGTGTGATGTCATTTCTCCCTGCTAGGCGCTCATTCGCCTCCTTGTTTTGTACGGTACTTTGTAGGTTGTCATGGCAATGCCAGGGTGGGAGGCGATGTTCTAGCTAGGCCAATAATCTTCCTCCTGCTTGCCTATTCTAGATCACAGCCAACAATATACATGGCATTGTTTTAGAGATAATTTGGCAGGGAGGGATTCCCATGTGTGCAATTGTCCCATCTTGCAATATAGATGCAGGCATTAATACTTGCATGACCACTGAGGTGACCTCTGTTTAGGAGTGTAATGTGTGAATCAACTCATGCAGCCGGACTGAAGGGAAGAGTGATGGAGAGGCTACTTCAGGAAGCAAAGCGGGTTTGTGCTCTTCTACCACCAATTCAGTTTAGTGCCACACAAGACTTCTCTCATTGTCCTTCTGCTTCCTATATGTGCTTTCACACTGGCTGGACAACTGGCCAAGTTACCCTGTTGTGGAGCAACATACACACTTGATTCAGCCTGGGTCTAGCTCACGGTGCAACCAACATGTCCCCAAAGTGGATGTGAAAGGCTTAAGCATCCTCCTTCCCCCATCTTATCCCCACAACAACCACCCTGTGATGTAGGCTGGGTTGAGAGTCTGTGATTGCCCAAAGGCACTCAAGTGAGTCACCTGTGATGTAGGCTGGGCTGAGAGTCTGTGACTGCCCAAAGGCACCCAGGTGAGTCACCCATGAAGGTTTATCTAGGCGATCTCAGTGTTTGATCTGCCATATTTAAATGAAATAATTGCTTTTAACTTCTCTGTAGGGGAAAACAGAAATGTAAAAATGCATGTTTAGTTTCCTTTGAGCAATTAGCAAAACCATTCCTCTTTGGTCAGATCATTTGACTCTTTTCTTACTAATTATATTGTTTGGTAGCTGAATATTCTGGTAACAGGTACATTATTTCTATATCTCCCCCAACCCACATACTGAATTAAAAAGCAAAAAAGGAAATGGCTGCTTTTACTGCATGTCAAATACAATCCCCCTCTTGGTTCAGAGATTTTGATTCCCAAATCTGTTTACTTTGGATTGAGGCAAGAGTGGAATGAATTGCAAATGATTTCATGTGCATTTCCATTCCAAAATACATTAGAGACTGTTGGGTGTATTCTCAGTCTTTTCCCCAGATACCAAACCTCAACAGCTAAAATCAGAACCTGGGACAGATGCTGTAATTGATCCCCTAAAAGCTGTTTGTTTCCCTGACTTACAATGCCTTAGTAATCAAATGCAGTTTATTAGTCATTAAAGGCGTTCTCCATATCTCATTGATGTGCAGGAATGTTTTCACCTATAGAGGAGTTAAACAGATGCACCACAGATTAACTAATCCAAGCCCTGACTTGCTGTCTCTTCTAAATCTTATGACAAGCATACAGTTCTAACATAAGCTGCAAAAGAAGGAAAATCTGACTCATGCAGGCAGTCATTTGTGGAGGGGAGGCTCCGTTTCAAAATGGCACACACTCAGTACTACCAGTTACGGCTTAGCTCATTTTAAACAACATTTGTTTAAGACTTTTTGCCTTTTCCAGACCTATTGCTCTGATCTACAGGAACCTCTGAGACACCTCTCTTTTGTGGTGTCCCACTGCATTTTCACACACAGGGATCCACATAGCTGCCACACTAAGTCAGCCTTGTTTAGACAACATGACCACAAGTGCCCAGCAAGGGATCTAGGGAAATGAGCCAGCATTCAACCAGCATTCCTGGGGATGGTTAACAAACCACCATGACTGACATGCCTGGTTTGCACAACACAAGGTTAATGAGTTAAAACATGCTGAGTTACCCACAATATTCATATCCTTCGTATACGTCCACAGAACACATAAGCACATGAGCGTTACACAGAATTAGACATGAAAGAGACTTAGCAACACATACATAGTTAACCTCGAATTCCATATAAATAGAAATGTTCAGCTTTGATACTGTTGGTTCCTTCTCTAATACTCCATTTCAAAAACAGTAAGAAATAAGCTGAATCCATATTGTCTTAGTTCACCAATGCTGAGCAGGGCTGTCAAGGACAGGACACTTTGGAGGGCTTTCATCCATTCAATTGCAGTAAGTCAGAGACTGACAGCACACAACGACAAATATTGTCTTGGCCTGCTATCTGTGTTTAATGGTTAGGTGACATTTCTTTTAGTCCAGTTTCCAAAGAGCCTTGAAATTATAGCACAAGCACTGATGTTTGCTCATTTGCACTGTTCTCATTGGTACACATTTTTGACCTGTGATGGATACTTTAAACCTATCCCTAAAATTAATATTTTAAATCATGTGGAATTATGTTTATTGCATGTATACTATCTTCCCAGAGTCTGTAGGACTGGAGCTGGCAGCAGAAAAGGAAGAATCTAGTAATTAGGGATTTTTAAAAGATCATATTGGCCCCACCAAAGATTACGGCCTACATCAAAATGCATTTTCTTCAAAATGGAAACGTTATCTACACCAGGCACCGCTAAATTTCTATTCTCAAGGTAAATTTGTTATTTGCGCTGCTTTAAGCAGAACCAACCCCTCTCTGGAGGATCTAGAAGCAGCCAACGGATCAATACAAGAGATGAAATCAAAGGTTACTCTTGCATTTAGAATGCATTTATTTCATTTTTGTACTGTGGTATTTGGCTCGGGTGATTTTTGCTCGTGTGTAACATTGCTTGGTCTTGCAGGGGTGAAAATCAGAATTAAAATCCTCACCTGTCCCCCTGCCTGGAAAACTTAGTCCCTTCCCAAGCACGGCGATCTGGAGAAAGGCAGGGAGCCAACCACCTTGCCAAGGCCCAAGGGCCCACGTGGGAAACTACAGCTCCCAGCATGCCCCGGGGCCCAGAGCGGCCGGCCAATGGGCGCGCCGCTTTTTTCGGCGCTGACTGTGTGTGGAGCTTTGTGTGCGTGAGGAGAAAGAGGAGGCGGAGGGAGCGGGAACGAGCAGGGCCGAGACCGGGACTCTGCGAGCGCGAGCGGAGCGCCAGCGCCCCCTCTCTTTCCCCCAACTCGGTGCCGCCCCCGTTCCGCGCCCTCGGCGGCTCCCCCCGCGGCCTTGCGGCTCCGTGGCCGCCCGGGACGGCGGCCGTGGTGGAAGCGGCGCTGGGAGGCGGCGGCGGCCGAGGCGATAATAGCGGGAACGCCGCAGAAATTGAGACCGGGGATCGAGCGCGGCCTACTGCGGGGC